GTCGGACGCTTAACCGACTGAGCCACCCAGGCGCCCCTGATCTTCAAATTCTTATAGTTAAAAGTGTTGTACTTTATATCTCAGAGCAATAATTATTAATTTTATAGACTGAGTTGAAGTCAGCCTTGAAGGAAAAAAAACCCAACAAGATGGCATTTACTCAAAACTAGTTCTAATTTAGAATAATTCTTAGCTATAGACAAAGTTTAGAATATGACACTGGAATGAGAAAAGGTGATGATAAACTAGGACAAGGTCAAGTTTTACTTGAGAATAACGGCTTGAGTTATGATGCTTAATGCAGTGGATTGACGATAGTCTGTACTCTTTCTCTTTATTGGCAAAAGGTTTTTGGAAAAAGTCTTAGGTCATATGTTCTGAAAAATGGCCAAAATGCCTATGTAAACAACAACAACAACAAAAACAGAAGTGCACTTCTTGGTACAGGTGTAATTTACCAGTTGCTAATGGAAACATATAAAATATATTTCAAAGTTATATACTGAATATTAAACTTTAGAATTCAGGGTTACATATTCTGGTATCCACTGTCTACACCAGGTGGGTCAGTCACTCCCATAATGCCCTTTTTCCCACCCTTGATGAACATTTATGCATTCTGTTTAACCACACACTTAGAATGCCCCTAATTTAACTTTGACCTTCATCCTGCTTTACTTTTTTTTTGAAGGTTTTGACTACACAAGTATCACAGTATAAATACAGTCAAATAGTACAAGAAAAACCAATTTAAATATATATACTTTAAAAATTCTTAAGAAAGAATAAATGACATAAAAGAAAATATCACTTGTATACTACTTGTTTGAAATAACACGCTTAGCCACTAGATGTCACCCTTTAAAAAAGCAACAGAGTTTACTTCCCAACGTTTGCTACATCAATTGCTGTTACATTCCACTATTGGGTGGAAGTTGGCACCGTTGGAATTAGTCATTCTGACATGATGTAAAAAGAAGCTTTAACAACAAACAGGGTTTCCTGTAAAGAGGGCTTCATGAGTCAAGCCTGATTTGAGTCTTTGGAGACCAAAGCCGGATGGTTAAAATGCCACAAGAGATAATAACATATAATTTTCAAAATGTTAAAAGCATGTCTCTCCTATAAGTATGAAGTGAAGATCAATAAAGATCTCATTCAACTCATTAATTAGCGAGGAACCAGTCAGACGGTAAGGAATGTAAGGCCTGTAAAAGAGCATTCAAGGAATGGAAACTTACACAGCCTTTCAAAGGCCTGCTGAAACGAACTTGGTAACAGACACAAAACTGTGTCATGTTCTACAAATTACAAGCCACAGCCTCTGAGGTTATGTTTTCTATTTGAGAGAAATGATCTCTGCTAGTCAGAAGTCTAAGAGGTGACATACAACTTCACAGTGAAGCGACAAAGTATTTAGCCTAGATGTATGGACAACATGTAATTCTTTCACAATTGTGCTTAGTGCTTTACATGCACCGTCTCATTTTATTCTCAGAATCATTGCTTATGAGGTAGATGCTGATATTATCTTTATATAGAGGCTAGAACACTGAGAGGTCAAGGAACATTCTTCAGGTTATGGACCAGCGAGTGATCATGCTGGAATGTGAATTTGGCCTGTCTATACAGTCTTTCTCCTGGGACCAAAGATGTAACAATTAGAGTGGTCTAGAGGATGTTGGGATTCTACAAGACGAAGTGCATGTGAGCACACTATGACGGCTTCACCCCCTCCTGTTTCTCATCCATGAAGGACAAATAGTGACAAAAGAAATTCCAAGTGCAACAGACATGTGCTGTAAGATCAGAGCTTAGCTGCTAACGCTTAAATTCTTGAAAATTTGTGTAGATTACTTAACATATCCCTCACCAACCCACCAGCTTGTCTTTGGATTGGTATGATACACCAGATCCTCTATTACAATTTAATTAAGTGGAGAGTGGGAAATGATCAGAGTAGTAAGTCTCCACACAAAAGCAAGCAGTATCTTATATACTGTCTACAGGGAAACCAATTATGTTAGGTAAAACACTATCAATGGGTTTTGCTAAAAATGAAAAAGAGACCATTTAAAATATGCATAGTATTCCTGTAACATAATAATGCTTTATATTCTTTTCAGAGAATTTGGGACATGGGGAGAAATCTAATATACTGACAATATATTTGGGGAAGACATCTGCCTGACAAAATACCTGTCTAAAGAAAACGCTCTATTTAATTTTAAAACTTTAAAATCTTGAAGAAATTTTAGACATGATTAAATGAACTGTAGAAAATCATCTTCAATTTCTTGGATTTATATGCATAGAACCTCAGAAATGTGAGGTGCTCCAAGTTTTATTACTAATTCAGCTTCAATTCTTGTAAAGATTACACCACTCAGCTAGTGGCTGAGAGGATTCAGAAAACTAATCAAACATTATTATATTACCTATTATGAGTCTAGACAGTCTCCTCATCACATATACTTTGATACAAAACTCTGAAAGGAGTTTTTTCAGAATATTATTTCTTTATCTCCATACAGATAAAAACAAACTTACAAGTTCCCTAGTCAAATAAAAATGTATAAATTTGTTAATGTATCACATTTGCATTTATACTTGCTCTAAAAAATGAGAAAGTTATATAAAGTAGAAAAGTATTGCTTTTTATGCAGTCTGTGTTGTTCAGTGTTCAGCTTCTTCAGTTTTCATGGATTATAAAATCTTTTAGGACAGAAGATAATCCTTACAAAACCATCATATAATGTTTCTAGCTTTAAAGGTAGATGTAATTTTAATAATAACATACCACATTTAAGGCTCTATTAGGCACAGCTCTGGTTGCCTTTGATTTATTCATCAATGTGAGGAATCTGAAATTTTCTGAAGTCTAATTTTGAAAAAAAATAAGTCATCTCTTTGCATTAAACCATCTGCTCTACATGATTATAAGGACTCATTTTTAGCATTGAGCTTCCCCTTTTGTGATTCATGTTCAACCAACTGAACTCTTCAAAAAGCATTTATTTCTAATAAAGTGCATCATTGTTAATAGAATGGTAATATAATTATAATCAATCCAGATTCTTATTGGATAGCACCTTCAAGAGCTCATGTAAATTTAGCATATCATTAATGCAAATTAATTTATTCATCACCAGAGAAGAATCTGAAGATGGTACTCACGCAGGTTTAATTGCATGAGCATGTTTTTCATGGACAAAGGCACCAGCAAGACCTCCCGCTCCTGAGTTTAAATACTGGATAGAAAAGAAATTAAAATGTATGAGCATATGATAAAAATGAACAATAAAATCACTTGACTTTTTTGTTATGAAACCAACTTTTGACCAGCTCAAAATGTGATTATTTGAACTTTTATAATAAAACATAATTTTACATTACCTAACTCAAAGAAAAAAAAATAAACATAAGCATTATTAATTGAGACTAAATACCTATTACATTTTTGGCCAAATTTTGCATCAACTAAATAGGTAACAGTTCCAATGAAGTCTATCTAATTTTAAACCCTATTCATTTCATTTATTTTGTTACAAAAATATTTCCATAATAATAAAGCATCTATTTTTAAAACACCTACATTAAAATAAAATTAGTTTCATTTCCATAATCCCTGTCAATGAAATTGTCTTCAAATATCAATATCAAGTTGATTCCATAAGAATTATCTTTATGTATGTAGAAATGACACAGCATATCACCAAAACCTAAGAACCTAATCAATTTGAATTAAGTTCTAAGGGTGGAGCTTTTTTCCTAAAATCTCATGATTTTTCTATAGTAGCCAGGCAATTAAAGGAATTAGTACTCTATAGTGGATGGAAATACCCAATTTTAATTGTTTATTATACTATTCTATCACATGACTTTATAATTAACTAAAGTCAGAAAAAAACAGTAACAAAAGAAATGGAGGAAAGTAAATCAAATAGTTAAAACTGGCCACCAATCCAGTTGTTCATTTAGATAACAATCAATGTGTAATAAAAGGATGTGAACATATTAACTAATTTGTACCTTGTAGGAGCACCAGCAGGCAAAATCAACTCCCCAGTCATGTAAGCGGAGTTCGACATTTCCAACTGCATGTGCTAGATCAAAGCCAACAAAACAACCCTGGGGAAGAACATAATAACAAGTTTTGAATTTGCTTAATGATTAGAAATAATAAGTACAAATATCTCTAAAAAAATCTTTGACAAACTGCTGTACTATAAATATGGTTTATCCTTTGGTAGTTCACAACATGTAAACCACAAAACACTGGGCATTCCCAAGATCCTTCTAGGTCAAAATTGTTTTCAAAATATGAAGACATTTTTGCCTTCTTCACTGTGTTGACATTTGCAATGATACTTTAAAAACAGTTATGGGAAAATTTCTGGCATGTTAGCACAATCAAGGCAGTGGCACCAGATCATACTAGCAGTCACTGCATGCTGAAACCATTTAGTTGCAGGGGGAAATAAGAAGATAATTTTGCTTAAAAATCTCCTTGAGGGGCGCCTGGGTGGCGCAGTCGGTTAAGCGTCCGACTTCAGCCAGGTCACGATCTCGCGGTCCGTGGGTTCGAGCCCCGCGTCGGGCTCTGGGCTGATGGCTCAGAGCCTGGAGCCTGTTTCCGATTCTGTGTCTCCCTCTCTCTCTGCCCCTCCCCCGTTCATGCTGTCTCTCTCTGTCCCAAAAATAAATAAACGTTGAAAAAAAAAAATTAAAAAAAAAAAAATCTCCTTGAAAGGGATGCCTGGGTGGCTTAGTTGGTAAAGTGTCTGACTCTTGAGGCTCAGGTTGTGATTTTTCAATCTTGAGATCGAGCCCCGTGTCGGGCTCTCCCTCTCTCTCTCTGCCTCTCCCCTGCTCATGCTCTCTCTCTCAAAATAAATAAATAAACATTAAAAAAACTCCTTGAGACATCTGTAAAAATGATAAAGTTAATTTTAAATCTCAATGCCTTAGTTCTCATATTTTTAGGGCTTAACATGAGAAGTATGCATAAAACATTTGACCACATTCTGAAGTAAGAGGGTTACCTCAAAGTAATGCACTTATGCAATTATTTGAGTTGCAAGCTGAACTAGCCACCTTTACTCCACAGAGAACAATTTTTTTTAATGAAAAAGCAACTGAGAGACAAACAACAGTAATTCATACTTGGGCATTTGATAGACATTCTTTTGGAAATGAATGAAATGAGTGTCAAATCAAGGAAAACAAGTCATAGTATTTGCTGCCAATGAAAAAAGTTTCTAAGAGAAATTAGGATTTTGAAAACTTGTATCCACTTCTATGAATATGACCACTTCCCAATATTTAAGATATTTCTGACGAGTTTAGTAGTAACATGTGCTTTTTAAAATAATATATAATGAAATATGTAGGTGTTTGGAAAATATGAACCAATATTTTTCAAACAACCAATGTTTGATATTACATATCAAGCATGGATAAAGACCTCTTCAAAGTACAAAACCATACAATGGATTTTAATGTAACAAAGCAGAGAAAGTTAGTAATTTGGTTTCACATTGCATACCACAACTTGTCAAATTCTGGTACAGTATCAAAGAATAGTCGTAACTAACGAGAAAAGACTATTAAAATACTTTTGCTTTTTCCAACTATCTATCTGCATGAGGACTGATTTTCTTAATATGCTTCATGAAGGAAAAAAAGCAAGAGATTGAATGCAGAAGCAGATATAAAAAACTAGCTGTCTTCTATTAAGCCAAATTAAAGAGATTTGCCAAGTGTACAACATTCTTATTTTGTTTTAGAAAACATAGTTTTGTTTCCCTAATGGCATATTATTTATGTTAATATGTAATGTGTTTGGGATACCAGGGTGGCTCAGTCCATCGAGCAACTGACTCTTGACTTGGCTCACGTCATGATCCCAGGGTCGTAAGATCAGGTTCCATGTCAGGATACATGCTCAGCATGGAGAGATGCTTAGAATTCACTCTCTCTCTCTCTCTGCCTCTGCCCCTCTCCCCCTCTCATGTTCTCTCTCTCTCTCTCTCTAAAATAAAAAAATTAAAAAAATATATGTAATCTATTTGTTATTATTACTCTAAAATAAATGAATGAATAAATGTATTTAATTAAAATATAGTAAATATAGATATAAACACAATATCAAAACCTCTTTGAGGTCTTCAATGGTTTTTAAGAGTGTAAAATGTGTGCATTACTAAAAAGTTTGAGAGGCACCTGCGTGGCTCAGTCTATTGAGTGTCTGACTCTGGATTTCGGCTCAGGTCACGATCTCCTGGTTTGTGAGTTCAAGCTCTGCATCAGGCTCTGTGCTAACAGCTTGGAGCTTGGAGCCTGCTTCAGATTCTGTGTCCCCCTCTTTCTCTGCCCCTCCACCTCTGCTTGCATGCTTGCTCTCTCTCTCTCTCAAAAATAAACATTTCAAAAATTTTTTAAAGTTTGAGAACCTCTGCTGTAGTATATCCTCTAACCTGATGGAGTTAATAGTAGTTTTCAGTTTGTCACTGAATCCCACATCATGCCCACATTTAATTTAATTAATTCAAGTATATACATGATATGATAAATTGCCTTAATGGCTTTCATTCTTTGTCCATCCTTGTATCCATCTTCTTTGCCATGTAATTTTTCAGTTCTTCTCACTGTGGGCAGAATGTAATTCTCTGCACTGGGATTAGACAAGTTACATATTTTGACCAATGGAATGTTAGCACATGTAATACAAGGAGAGTCCAAAGCACTAGAGTGATTAGATTGGGCTTGTTTTCTCTTGTTCTCTGCCATCTCTGTAACAAGGACCTGCTTAGCCAACCTGCTGGCTCAGAGTCTTCCTCACCTGAGCTCAGCTTGGATCAGCTGCTCTCCCCACCTCTCCTTAGTAGGCCAAGAGATGCAAGAGTGAGTTCAGTTGAGACTTAGCAGGATCTCTATGACTAAGTAATGCCTAGATCAGTTGACACAAAGATGACCAATAAAAATGATGCTGTTTTTATGACTCAACACTGTGTTCTCCCTATACATTTACTTGAGACCCTAATAGCCTCTTACTATTTGACTTTGCCTTGTTTACTTGTTTACATTGTCCAAGCGTTCTGTATGTCTGCCTAGCAGAATTCACTGTTTTAGAAACTAACCCTCTGTTTCTACTGAGTTCCCAGAAGGAAAATCTGAAGCAATGAATTATATTACCCAGACTGTACCCAAACAATAAGTTCATTTTAATGGCTTAACATCAAAACCTTTAACTTCCTATAAATCAAAATGTTAAAAGTTTTACTTTGAGAATATAGTGAATATAGTGATTAAGACAATTTTGTACATAAATATGAATTTTTAAAAAATCCCTGATCATTAAATGGGGGTAATAGTTCACTTTGCAAAAATGTTTTACCTGTGAGTTTTTTTTTATTTTTAGCTTACTAAGTACATATATAATTATGTTTTCAAAACTTTAGATTTCCTGCAACTTTGAAGAAACACATCTATCTATAGAAATTATTGCAGTAAATAATTTCAGAGGGGCCAATTTTAGATTTTTCTAACACCTTTTAAAAATAACTAATGTTCAGGAGCCTGGGTGGCTCAGTCGGTTAAGTGTCTGACTCTTGGTTTCAGCTGAGGTCATGACACCACAGTTCATGAGATTGAGTCCTGCGTCTGGCTCCCTGTTGACAGTGCAGAACCTGCTTGGGACTCTCTCTGTCCCTTTCTTTCTGCCCCTCTTCTGGTCTCTCTCTTTCTCAAAATAAATAAATTAATTTTTTTTAAAAAAAGAATAACCTCAAACTGCTATTACAGGTACTTTCCCTGAACAGAGGGATGCAAACTATGACCTGTTTTTGAAGGTAACCTTGTATTTGAACACAATTAGTTTCATTTGTTTATTCATTTATTTTTTTATTATTTTAAATGTTTATTTATTTTTGAGAGAGACAGCACGAGTTGGGGAGGAGAAGAGAGAGAAGGAGACACAGAATTCAAAGTAGGCTCCAGGTTCTGACCTGTGAGCACAGAGCCCGACACGAGGTTCAAACTCACAATGAGATGGTGACTTGAGCCAAAGTCAGATACTTAATCAACTGAGCCACCCAGGTGCCCCTCAGTGTTTAAATTTTGTCTATGACTACTTTTGCAAGCAGAATTGAGTGGTTTCAATAGAAACCACATGGGTCACAAATCTCAAATATTTACTATCTTGCCCATTAAAGAAAAGATTTGCTGACCCCTAACATATAGAATTAGTTTCATAAAGAAAACTCAATATATTGAAGAGTCAATTAGCAACTTTACTCATTATAAAGTGGCCAGAACTGGTATCTCATAGAAGAAAAAGTTTTTTACCAGTATTATATATCTGATTTTGTTTTGTTTTGTTGTGGGGGAGGGGATGGATTTGTACTTTGTTTCTCTCGAAAAAAAAAAAAAGGCAATTCATGTCATAAATTTAGAGAATGATAGAAAAGAAACACAATTAATCTCTATCAAGATTTAAAGATGGTCAAAATCTGGGTTTGCAGACTAATGTTTAAATTCAGTACACACACACACACACACACACACACACAGATTTTTTTGTTTGTATTTTAAGATACATTTTAATATTGAAATTAAATTTAGAAAAAAAAAAAAGGTTTGAACTTGACATCCTCTTTTTTCTTGCCAACATTTCTAATTAAAACCAGGGTTTTTTTCTCTTTTTTTGTGAAACAGTATTTACAACTCAGTTTTTTATATATATATTTTTAAAACTCAACTTTTCTTCGAAAACTTAAGAAACAGGAAAGGCAGCATTTTTATTTTATTATCAATTATTTATAAAGAATGTCACAATGAAGAAACAATGAAACTTCACCTACCATATCCCATTATTAAAAGCCCTGTAGTCACATCTGTGGTACCACATTAAAAAATCACTTGAGGCTCTTACAATATGTTTTAATGTATGTACAATTCTTTCCCCATGGATGGCAGAAACATAAATTATTAACATGTAACTGTTTTGAGGAAAGGACCAGAAGATACAAACTTGAATGAGACCACCAAAAAGTGATCTTTCAAAAGTTTCACTAGATGGCAGCATCTTAAAAATAAAGAAAAAACACATAGTTCTCCAAACCCTCTCC